GAATCAATATTGCTAACTTTATTTAAATTCTAGTTATGATTTTCAAAAATTCAGATTGCAAAAACAATTATAATATGAAATAAAAACAATTTGAATTATTTGAAGATGTAAGAATTATTATCGTTCATCAGACATCAATAATTGCGACATAATACAATACGGGATAGGTGGTCGCACCGCATAATTAACAAGCTGTTACTGAGAATCAAAATGTACTGCTGCTTTTTTTTTTTTTTTTTTTATATGTATTAGATTTGTATACCTGATAGTTTCTTTCTGGTCTACTGTCCTGTATAACCACAGACAGCTCTCCATGTATTTATCAATGAGCTTGCTTTGCTGAACTTCATATATATATGTGTTGCCAATCTGGCATAGTCTTATTATAATTTATTAAAACTTTATCACCTTCTGGTCTGCTGACTTGCAACTGAAGCCACAAACAGCTCTCCATTTGGACCTCTTGTTTCCTTCCTTTTTCTTCCTTTCTATCCCCTTTTTTTTTTTTTTTTTTTTTTGGGAGGGTTGGGAGGGACAGACAATACTGTCGAGCAGAAAAACAAAGCAGAAAAACAAAACAGAAAAACACACACTAATAGCTGAACCTACTTATATGCTTATTTAAAGTCTGCATTTACATTCTATCCAATAACGATCTCTGTATGCATCATGAGACTGACTCATGATAAATTGCCGCCTTGTGACTCTGTTCACAAGCAGCACATTTATTATCATTCATCAGACATCAATAATTGCGACATAATACAATACGGGATTGTTGACGAGGATCGTAGGCACCTAACAAGTAAACTATACATAATAAAGTTTGAAATATACAACACATATCTATGTTTATTAGAGCAAGAGTGACATCATTTCTTTCTTTTTTTTTTTTTTTTTACTTGGTGCCAACTGCACAACTCAAAATCCTATTTGCTTAGAAGCACCCACTTTAGCTGTAGATGCTGCTCTTAAGTATAACATAACTGCTTTTGAGTCTCAACCTTCGATAGCCTGAATTTGCATTAGACTTAAGCCAGCATCCATTGCTGCTGTGGCACCTCCGATTCGTAATGAATGTGCAGTAAATCGTTCAGTTAGGCCAGCATGCTTAGCGAAATGCTTAACTATTGACCCAATTGCAGATACTGTCATCTTGCCTTTCCTCTTAGAAAGAAACAAAGGTGCTTCTAAACCTGTACAAGGTCTTACCAAAAGATAATCTCTTAGAAGTTTTAAAGGACAAATCTTTGAACGTGTACTCTCTATAGGGATAAACTTTCCATTTCTAAACTGGTCTGTTTTCAATTTACAGATTCTAATCCATAATAACCCTTCCTTGTCCCACTTAATATTACTTTGTTTTAGATCACATATCTCTCCTGGCCTTCTCATTGCTCTTAAACCTATAGCTATCAAGGCTACATCTCTTTTATACATTAGCTTATCAGCTAATGAAGGTGTAACTCTACATATGCTCGTAATGCATTTACTGGCAAGGGGTCACGTGGCCAATCTGGAACCTTATTCCTAGTAGTAGCTTTTTTTAATGCTTTTAGTACCCGTGCTATTCCTAATAAATTTCTAAAATCATGCCCACCTTTAAGGCGAAGGTTGTTGAAAACTGCCTGTATGGCCTAAGGTGCTTGTGATGCTAACCCTATTAGGTCCAACCAAATGATAAAGGCTTCCAAATGCTCTTCTGATGGAGTATCTGCATTTACATCAAATCTTTTACAAAAATTGACATAACGACACCAGTAACTCTCAGTCTTATTTTTATAATGTACTGATAATGCCTCTGAGGCTACTGTTTTTGCTTTTCTCACTAAACTATTTAGGGATAAATGTGCACTGCTATAAATGTCCAACTCAGATTTCTCAATGGTTCCACTACATTTAATGGGCCTGGTTTGAAAATTATTTCTAGAGGGGGTAAGTAAAATGCTTTCCACTTTAGGCTTAGTAACAGAGGCCACCACTCTGCTGACATCCAATATGGGAGCACCACTGTTGCTTCTGCACCACAAGCTCTTATATGAACCAACACCTTTTGAATTAGTTGTAAAGGAGGGCAAACAAAGTTGTTTTCCAGTTTCCAATTTTGTGTGAAACAGTTTACTGCTTCTGTATTTGGACAAAAGTGGTAACTGTTGAACCGTTTTAGCTTGTTGTTTAAATGTGAGGCCATCCAATCTATAGTATGTGGCCCGAATACTTTCTCTATCAACTGGAAGGCCTCCCATCTTATTTCCCAATCTGAGACATCGAACGTCCTTGTCCAAAAATCTGCAGGATTTTCCATCGATGGTATCCATTTCAAATCGTAGATCCAGATATCCTTTTTTAGACATATTTCCCATAATCGGTGAAATGATTCCTTTTGCCATGCATGTTGGCCACCTGACTTCATTGTGGCTAATGCTGCACAGCTGTCTATAAACAGCATTACCCATGATCCTTGCAATAAGTTCGCAAAACTTTGAAGGCCAAATAAGGCAGTTTGTGCTTCCAACTGTGCAATCTCTCGATGGCTTCTTATTTTTTTCCAGTTTCCAAAGGCAGTCCGACCTTCCAGTTTGGCACACCAACCTATCGTCGATGCATCCACAAATATGCTTTTGACCAAGGATGGCCTCCAAGCAGGCCGACCATTGTAGCCCTTCAGGGTTTTCAATAGCCAAAGCACATCCTCTCTTGCCTGCTCCGAAAGTGTGATTGTTTTGTCCCACTCCCAAAAACTCCGATTTGCTGTATTCAAAAGCGAGTAGAATTCCATACACCTCATTTGAGTTGGCGCAAAGGCACATGATAGGCTTTGAATTCTTCCAGTAACTTTTGCCAAATGTCTAGCTGTTATCCTTCTCATAAATACTAATTCCTTCAAATCTAACTTCACTTTTTTCACCTTTTCCTCTGGAATAACAACTTGCGCATTCATCATGTTCACAATCAGCCCATAGAACTTGATCTTCGTCGATGGTATCATTTGACTCTTGTCCCAAGCCAGAACAAATTCACATCCTATCAGATCTGGCAATACAACCTTGTCTCTTATATTTTCTAGAACCTCAGCTGATAGATGAGTGACCCATATGTCATCTACATGTGACCCTGATGCAATACCCATTGACCTCCAACGAGCTATGATAGGTCTTATGATCTTGGAGAAAATCCATACAGATTGTGAGAGGCCAAAAGGTAACACCCGGTAATGATACCACACATTTGCCACACAAAAACACAAAAATCGCTGCGCCTCCTGGTTCATTAAAACGTGATGATATCCATCGCGTAGATCTAGGGTAATTACTGACCAGTTCTTTCCGATAGATCTCAGAAAACTCCCTAGTCCCTCGAACCGACATGATTTTTCTGGTAGAGTTTGATTTAGCCTCCTTAGATCTATTATTAAATGAAATTTCTTCGGGCCTGGTTTTGGAACCAGAAATACTGGTGAGACTTCTAACAGAAAGAATGGGCAATTGGGACCTGTCTCTACCCTTCGAATTGCTTCTAGTTTCTCCAGGCAAGAGATTTTCTCCTGAAGCCAAATTTTCTGTTCTTCTACTAGCCGATAAGGTCTTGGGTCTGGTTGTTGTGCCAACTTTAAAACACCCTTTGGAAATAATGGTATATGGTTCAACAACCAATCGGCAACAACCGGTAGTGGATTCACTACTTTTAGCCAATAGTCTATCGCCTCTGTCATATGAATTCTGCCTGTGACTATCCTCTCTAAGTCCAGCTTCCTTTTCTCTGTCCAATTTTCCACTTGTAGCATCCTTTTTATCTGAATTTCC